CGATGTCCCCTCGAGGAATGGCAACGCATCACTCCCAACGTCATCAGACGTTTGACGGCATCAGTCCGTAGGCGTGTTCTGGCATGTAATGATGCTCACGGTGGACATACCCACTACTGACTTGACTTTGTGACGTGTGGTGTGACATTTCCCGTTGTTTCTGTGATCAGTGCTCTAACGAAATGTTCTTTTTTCGACCCCACCCATCTTTAAAGGCTTGTCATATTGGTTGTACAGATTTTATTGAAATGAAATTTTTGTACAGATGTTGTGAAAGGATTTCTCAAAAGCATAACACCAATCCTAAACTTCTGCATTGTTTAGTTTTTCTTTTATGTCGTTGCAAACAGGTGGTATCGTTTCTTTTGGACACTAGTTTAGTATGCTTACAAATGGAAATGCTTGTTTGTTGTTGAAATAGAAACATGAACGAATAAACTATCGAACAAGGTACATTTTATGTGACTTAGTCAACATACCACTCAGGCTCTCTACTCGGAATTTACGTTTTCAGTGATGTCACGAATCGCGATAGCGAAACCCAGCGACATAAATGTTCAAGAAAAAAGTCCATGGTCAATCGGGCTGTCGTGGTCCTGGTATAACTAAGCCCTCGACTATGACAGCGTAGATTTATTGTTACGAAACAAAAGAACAATAGACATAATATAAGTTTCATAACATTTGACAATTTCTTCCTTGGATATATCGAATCAAATAGTAGTTAATATCATTGTATTCTATGTTTACAAAATTAAACAATTTATAGACCCTACTATAAATGGACAGAATTTAAAACGCTTACGTCAGATATAGAATTAGAGATCTTGGTAGGCGATCGTCTTTACGCAAAAGAAACAAGACGAGAGACAATTTTTCTTTTAATCAGGTATGAATTTTTACCATTCCGACTTGAACATAACTAACTAACATATTTACTGAACAGATAAAGAATTATCGCATAGTACAGAAAATAGTGAGCTGTTTATTGAAATAATTCAAAACATAATTTTCAGAAAACAATGAATGTTTTGAGTGTCTTTCGTGTTATTGTTATGTCATATCGAGTGTCTTATCAGGTAGAGTTCTCAAATGGAGGCTGCAAGTCAGTACCTAGCTTCGGCATCTTCTGTACATTGAGCGGACGTTTACAAACGACATTGGAATCTGCATTCAGACCCCGAAGAAAGCTGCACTGTGTTCTGTTGCATTCTTAGGCATCTTTGAATGTCATCCTACAAGTGACTGAGTGAGAGGCGTGGCATTACTTTGATCTTATGCCGTTCGTCCTGTTGGCTATGACAGTGTGTTGCCGTTGAATATGCTGTAAGGTGTGGTAGTCTTGCAAAATGGGGTAAATCGTGTGGTCGATGTAACGGGCTGTGACTCCATGACCTCTGTCTGGGTTAATATTCCTAACAGACAACAGATCCAAGTTTCTGATTGATGCCGATTTCAGCCCATGCCATGATGATTCTTACCAATTCTCATTAGGTGTCAGCTGAATGTCATAAACTTGCCCTTCTAAAGTCCCAAAATCATATATATGAAGAAAACAATATTATCATGCACGATTATTTCCAAAAATGCGACGTTTCTTTATCTGTTCAGTATATATAGTAGCCGTCTGCCAATAAGGGTTTCAAAAGGGGGGGGGGGGGGGTCTTGTCTTTTTTTGTATATCGGTATGTATACAATTTTATTGCACCAATCTGACTTTACAAACATTATCTGTGATTCACATTCGTTTAGAACACTTTCAGCATAATATGATGTTACCAACTCAGATAACACTCAAATCGAATGAATTTTGACCATGACTAGAGTTTTAAATTGTCCTTTCAGTTTATTCGGGGTAAATTGGTAAACATCTACAGATTTATGTAGAAAATGGATAATGGTAGTGTGTATGATATATTGTTTCATGCTGCCGAACATGGCATTCCAAGCGACGTAAATGAACTAATAGCTCGAGGGATTGATATCGATGTGCGAGACAAATCTGGAAGAACTCCTATACTTGTTGCATTAGTTAACCGGCACCCTGAAACGGCTGTCAATCTTATCACGGCAGCTGGTGCAAATTTGAACGTGGCAGATTCTGACGGTTTTACACCATTGATGCTTGCCATAAAAAATAACTTGAATAGGGTTTGTAAGATGTTAATCGACAAAGGTTGTAATGTTACCCTACAGAATAATTACAATGAAACAGCTCTTCATGTTGCTGTCAATACCTGTGAACGAATCATCAGTCAGCATGACGGAAATAACGAAAATCCATGTGATGATCCTTGGATACAACAGGTCACTGACAGAACTATGGAACTTTTAAAATTGTTTATTTCGCATGGTTGTGATGTGAATGTTAGAAACACCAGAAACCAGATCGCGCTACATTTTACTTCAAGAATGCCTGGATGTGCCAAGTATTTGCTTGAACATGGGTCAAATGTTAATGTGGAAGACACAATGGGGCGGACACCTTTGACTGTAGCTATAGAAAACGGAACTGTCGAAGTGGTTGAGTTGCTTCTAATTCATGGTAGTGAGCCTAATCTAGGTCGTGCCGTGAAATTCGATCTCTGGTTTTATCCTTTGGATCATTTGCAATTTAAGATATTAACACTTCTTTTGAAATTTCAATGGAGGTGTACTTTCGACAAAAGTCAAAACGTTTCACAAAAGTACTCGAATGAATCCTCATCTACAAGTTTTGACAATGAGACACGTCTATATTTAGTACGCTTGGCGTATCATACAGGTTCGTGTTCACAAGCGAATTTGTTTCATTTACTTAACCATTCAGATTTCCAAAATACGTGGCAGAGTATCGAGAAAATAAGAAAACGATTGAAGGACAATTGCAATATTCCAATGTCTTTGGAACATATATCTAGAATAGTTATTCTTAAATCTCTGAAGCCCAAGAAGGAGATAAATATTAGCAAATTAATCATTCCATCAGTATTAAAAAGTTTTCTACTTGTTTCTGACATTGTACACGATTGAAATAACTTACACTTTTCTCACTTCAAGAGTATCCGTTTTTACATGTGAAAGGAGTCGATATGATGACCTCATATTGCTTTTTAAAAAATAAGTGATGATAACTTCTAAAACAAATTACGATCAGATCATGAACTTCACTTGTGTTGATGAAGAGTCATACGAAACTGAAAATGATTCTTACATAGATATAACATACACGATCGTAATTCACAGCCATTTTGAATCACTACCTCGACTTAAAAGTCGAATTTCGATAAAGGTCATAATATTTCAACTAAGCCTTCCAAGAACATTTAAAGGTTAGAAATGGCTTTAATTGTGATTTGAAGGCAGTGTTGAAATATTAAATCATTTTTTTAAATTTTACTTATTAAGTCGGGGACTCAAAACTCAAATGGTTGTGAACTACGCTTGTTATTTCCATGTACGAATTATACGTAGTTTCGTAAATATGATGAGTGTATTAATGCGGAGAAAACCACGAAGTGAAACTAGATTAGCATTGGAATTAAATTTAAAGGCGAGTATGGTAACAATACATATTTTGGCCAAATCTTTTGGTGAAAAATCTTCCAAATGGGACAAACCGCATAGGCCTCTGTGTATGCTACATATAAATTGTGCATTTTCAATATCCAGATGGAAAACGAGTACTAAAAATCCTTGATTGCACACTACATGGTTTGCCTGTGTACATTAGCCCAATTAGGTTAAGAAAAGTAAGAAGTAAAATTTTATTTCATTGAACCTTGCTGTGTTTTATGTGAATCATTAGCAATATCGAAGTGTTGCCGACCAGATGTAGCAGCGGATAATTTCATGTTTCTCTGAATCGAGAATTTAGAAAGCATTGAAATGAGATTTAGAGAAGTTATGTAAAACAATTTTTATTATTCAAATTTTATTTGACCTTAGATATATTTGGATACATCAATTACCCGTGTACATCACATGAACACCAAATCTTGACTTAATTAGCTGGAAAAAATTAATAGAATACATAAATTATTATTTAACAATAGTTATTGAAGCAAGACAATCTTTAAGAGCATACAATGTTTTTGTTTCTGTTATGTTACTGCACAGTGTAGCGGACCAATTTCAAACCAGTAGATCCGAGGTAGCTTACTATAATCACTTCATCGCAGCCACTATGATATAAAAACTAAATGATATTTAAACTTACATTCCATTTATAGCTGCTCCTTGAGTAGCATCTTGTCCACCAAAAGCAGGGGAACCAAATCCAGCACCTCCAAATCCCATACCATAGGGTGACATACCTCCCATCATTCCCATTCCACCCATCATTCCTGAACCACCCATCATTCCTAAACCACCGAGTCCACCATACATCATAGCCATAGGATTGTACATACCTCCCATGAGCATAGGATTGTACATACTAGCCATGAGCATAGGATTATACATACCACCCATAAGCATGGGGTTGTACATTCCCATGCCTAATCCTCCAAGACCGTACATTCCCATACCGTACATACCGGCATTAGCAACAGCCAAAACGCAGGCAACAGCAACAACTAATTTCATCATCTGTAAGTAAAGTCAATGGGTGTTTGAAAATAATTATGAAAACATGACAGTCACAGTAGTTCCTAAGTGTTTCAATCTCGTAGGCTACACGAATGACTATTTGACTAAGTATATAGGTGTTCTGAACAATCAAACTCGATACATCGTGGAGCGCAGCTTTTTCAAGTCGATGGCAAAGATCAGTATGATGACTGGGTCACATATAAATGCATGTTAGAAAAACGCCTTGTAACGACGTTTTACTTGTCGTCTAAATGAATGATTAGGCCTCACTGTGAAGCCAAATGTGTCGAGAACTACCATATATATTTACCTTGAATTTGTGGGTTTCGTTGAGTTCTTTCTAGAAGAAGTAGTAAAGATCGAATGATGTTTTCACTCAAGTGAGTGCAGTTTTTTATACGTCTCTCCTTCCTTATTCAGTGTAATTAGGGATATTAATATAACCCATCAATAAGGGATTTTAATTAATTTTCTATAATTTAATATAATATTATGTATTTATTTAAATTATGATGATGTAAAGTTAGAAATTGGTATGTCCGATAAGGATGGGTTGAAATTACATCATACAGCATGATTTGTTTTTAGTTGAACTGAAAGTGTCGTGTACTGAAAAGACATAAGATTTTTATCAAATAGTGAAGATAGATGTAGAATCCACTGAAGAATAGCCAACATTATAAATCTGGATCTATCATAATCGAGGTGTTTTATTGTCAAGACTGAAAGGGCAATTCGCTATTAAAATACGTCCCAACCCCCGATCGACCACTTGCCTCAGTGTCCGACAGGAGAAGCATTCTTGCTTAATAATGTAGTGATCTAACTATAGGACTTCAATCCAGTTCAAAATGATCTCAATTTATTCTGTTGCATAATGGTATACTACTCCTTAGTATTACTGAAAGATAGCTTGCGATGCAACGTAACATACGCCCACTGGCAGCTGTGAGAAATAATAAAACAGTCTTTAGTGACTAAAGTACGAATTTTCAATAACAATAGCAATAACTCAAAAACATTTCATCGAAAATTCGTCAAGTTAAAACTTGTCCGAGATCTTATCAATTCCAATGATCACACCAAGTTTCATCAGAATCGATTGAAAACTGTAGCTTCAATCCTGCTCACGAACTATTTTTGATAAATTTTGACGCGTTTTTACAAAGTCAAGGGCAATAACTCAAAAACCATTCATCGAAAATGCGTCAAATTAGAACTTGTCCGAGATCTTATCAATTCCAATGATCACACCAAGTTTCATCAGAATTGGTTGAAAACTGTAGAGTCAATCCTGCTCACAAACTATTTTTAACAAATTTCAACACGTTTTAAAAAAGTCAAGGGCAATAACTCAAAAACCGTTCATCAAAAATGCGTCAAGTTAGAACTTGTCCGAGATCTTATGAATTCCAATGATCACAACAAGTTTCATCAGAATCGGATGAAAACTGTAGCTTCAATCCTGCTCACGAACAATCTTTAACAAATTTCAAGGCGTTTTAAGTCAAGGGCAATATCTCAAAAACCGTTCATCGAAAATATGTCAAATTCGAACTTGACCGAGATCTTATCAATCACACCAAGTTTTAACAAAATCAGATGAAAACTGTAGTCTCTATAGTGCTCACAAGAAATGATGACGGACGGACCGACGGGCCGACGGACATGGGCGACGACAATATACGACCACATATTCCTGTGTGCGTATAAAAAACGTTTCAACAATCTGCATTGTCATCTTCAGGTGAATATGTTCGATATCAGGAATGTCACAAAACTGTGACTATTAAAGTAATAATTTGGCCCCATCAATCAATAAATATAAGTTATAAATATTTCTATACTTTAATAACAGCTGAATAACAATAAAATATTTACAATTCAAACATAACAATAGCACTTATGGTGTCCCCAATTAAATAATAGTAATAGTAAGGGAGGTAACTCTACATAAAGTTTTTTTTGTGGGGGTGTTATTGTCACTACACAAAAGTGTCAGTATCCATAGATTTAGTCATGGCACAGTTAACTTGCTGAGGATCGGTTGGTATAAAGTAAACACTCTTATTTAATTCGTTTCGTCTTGGAATCCTTTTCTGTTTCTTCCTTCGGTGGTTGTCTGGGTAGAGTTTATCGTTAGGTAAGGTATCAATACTTTCAGAGGACGAATACTGCAGAGCTTTTAAAGGTGGATGATGAAGATTAGATGAGGAGGTGACGCAACTGGAGACGTAGTCGTAGGTATCACATGAGTTCGTCAAATTGTAGGATTTTGTAATCGAGCCTGCTAGTTCCTGTCGAGACTTGACAGATTCATAACGGAAGGAGCCTTTCCTGGTAATCTTCTCCGCTGCATGAATATCTTTAGTGATGGAAATCCGGATGTCACTGCTTAAATCTCTGGCAAGAGTTAGATCTTCGGCAATGGAATCTCGTAGACGACAGAGTTTATGGTATTCCACTACACTGGATGAACTACTGAAACTCTTCAAGCTAGGTTGCCGTGGGGTTTCTGGTAAGCTGACTGTAGTATTTTGTGGTGGCGTAGATGGGGTTCCTCTCTTTGGCGAATCTTCTAAGGAAGTTGTGTTACCATCACTGTCTAAACCACTATCTAGTCGAGCTTCCTGGTCGAGAGATATCTCCATTAACTTCTGTTGAGCGTTGGTCAAATGTCCCTGCAAAACATTGATGGCAGCATCTTTCTGGAAGAAACAAAAAAAGTCGCATTAGTATTATTCATATATCCACCATAATTTCCTTACAAAGCTGTTGTACACACGGTTTATACTGCATGGTTTACCCATAAAGGATATGCATAAATCAGTAGATTTTTTATGAATTTTTGCTCTACAAATTCGTAAAAAGAGAACCGAAAGTTACCTCTTGTAATGATTTCTTCATGGAGATATTCTCAGCTACCATAGTAAACATATCATCTTCTAGTATATCAGCGGTATTAATACCGGTAACATTGTGGGTAGATTTAGAATTAATGGATAACCTTAGGGCAGACTTTTCTGGATTTCTCCACCATAATAGCAACTGAAAGAGAAATTGTGTGTGCTTAACTATTCAACAGTATATAAATTGTCTTTCAAGTCTGAAATTTCACAGGATGGATTTAGAATGTAATTCCACATATGGTGTAATCAAACTGATCGGAATGTAAGTCCGTGAACATAGCTTTACATTAACTATTTAATCAAACAACATGCATCGAACAACAGAGTGGCAATGGAACATGAATAATTTGACTATAATGTTGACTATATACATACCTTTGGTACAAACACCATAGATGTAGTGACAATAGTAGAGATACCAATTCCCAAAAGAATAACAACAGTAACTATATCTGGACTAGCGAAATGGATAGTTTTTAACGTGAAGACTGTAGCAGTAACAAACAGGGTGGTAAGACTGGAGATGATGATACTGTAGGAATCATTCATGGATGGTATTAGGACATCTCTAGTTCTCCAAGCTAATACAAGGCTGGTGATGAGTACTGGAGCTTTCAAAAGAAACATCAGTGTTAACCACGTCGGTAGGTTGTTACAGCTGCAAGTTGGGATAATTGTCACAGACAAGTTGATCGAAGAATTTCCTTTCCATAATTTTGGTTCCTAGAATTATAAAAAGGTAGCTTTAATTAGAGGTCGGAGAAGCCGAAAAGACGAGCATTGCTGTAGTATACGTACATGCTCGATCGTTTTTATTAGAGTATCACGGTATCAGTATGTACAGCATGATACAGATTTCATTATCAGAACAATGTCGGGCGTCACTACTTATTGCAATATTGATAAATAAATTGATTAAGAATTACATATTATAAAAACCTACCTTTGTTAAGCTGGCAACAGTGGTATAATGTAAAGGATCAACAATCTGCCAAGCTGCCATCATTAAAACATCACCAAATAACAGGGCACCAATTAACAAATATAGCCTACTATCTCGAATAACCTGCAGAAAATATTAATGTGGATAATTCATTGAGTTTTATTTGACATTCAAATGCTCCGTAAGGGTAGCATGTCATTAAAAAAGACATGTCCCATCTAGGATCAGATTCGTAAATTGGAATTAACATCGTGAATCAACTTTGTCAATATAGTTTATAACCAAATCTTACTTACCACACGTTTGAGAGATCCTTGTTCAAATATTCTGTTTACTCGCCAACATTTAGCTACTAAAGGACCATACAATAAAGTGAAGGCACAGGTCAGGAATGCTGCTCGAAGCTGAAAATAGACACTTATTAATAAAGCAGACGGAAGCGGAAGTGTAACTGGGGTTAATGGGTTCATATATTTAGTTGGTTTTTTCAGAAGAAATCCAACTTTTAGAATTAAGCAAAACCGCGGGGGTGTACACAAAATGTTCATTTTTGGTTGTTTTCTGTAGAATTTCGTTTGATTTAAAAATGATGCAAAATTTGGGGAACTGAGACACTGGCGGAGGATTGAAATGATGACCCCTTACCTGACAGAAGTTAGACAGTTGCTGATGGTTCTTGTCGATGAAATGATCTACACCATATAATAAACAGGTTATACTGGCTAAAATTCCACCACTGGCTACCAGACAGTTCAAATTAGGACTGGACATTTTGATCAATCTAATGTGAGAAGAGAAAATTTTCTTAAAACTGGTTTACTGTATTTCTCGTGTTTTGATTTCCTGAGAGGCTGATGTCCAACGTTTTAGCTATGATGGCTAATTAAATAAAATATATCTCTATTGAATTGGGAATTTATTTCCCGGTTCTTGGTCAAGTCCGTCGTCTGCTATTCCTGCTATTTTGACAGTTATCGGCTGGTCTAAGCAATCGTAAAGAGTATGAGCATCCAATGCTTATGGTTGCTAGAAAACGTTAATGAATGTGACAATGTATTGACTTACCTGGTGTTTCGTAATTTGATATTTAGAACCAAATAAACTAAGGATACTAAAGCTATCACACATCCTATAATCCATGACATAACAGCTACTACCAAACCATTTTCTTTTACCGTTTCCATCATTCTAAATATAAACTTTTTCAGTGAAACAGTGATTTTTTGAGTTCAAATCCAAATCAAAGTTTCTATAGATATTATATCCTATCAAACCCAAAAAATGCGAGACAGAATGTTAAAATGAATAAATAAGACAAAATATTAGTACCTATATATCGATGGCATTGAATTGAAGAAGATTCAAAACATAACAAATCGTCGTAATCCAAACAACATTCATTCCCTTAGATAATCAATTCTGAACTTTGTTGTATTGTTAGTATATTTCGCTTGCTTTGTCCTTCGAATATAAATATTAGAATAATGCACTTAAAATTCTACGTTATTTAGGATTTTTTTCATCATCCTATATTCGAATAATTCACAGACAGATCGCCTATAACATTCTACGCCTGATTAAGAAGCTAATGGTTTATTTAAGAAAAACATGTACCGACAATTTGAACCCATTGTTGACAACAAGGTTTACTAAACAATTGCCGTCTTAATTCTACAAAACATTGTTTATTTTGAACGTATTAGTACCCAAACTTTATTTTTCTAACGTGTTCAAATCTTCTTCTTAGATTACCACATTTCGTGTCGTTTCTTTTTACGTTTTATTTAATGACATATATCTTTGAATGCACTACCAAGGCGTTTCATTATACAAATTATTTGGTTAATTGAATGGATGCATGAATGCTCGTCTACTTTAAGGTTCTTCCAATATGACGAATACAATTAGAAAATATGAAATATTTACACAATTATTATTATTATTTCATTTATAGTTTGTAGAGTCAATTTGACAAATCATAGATATAACGTCCAAATTTGATTCGAACCATAAGATGCTTTAACATTGATGAAAAGTAATTTTTCTGGTTGTCTGAAGGACATTTTCGCCAAAAGTTACTTTAGCATTCTGGTATGTGAGATTGTATGTACAAGACTGCTCATTATAGGCATAGAAATCATATTTGTTTTTAAACTTTTGATGCTGTCAAATGTTATTGTATCTGATATCAATTGCTGAAATATGATCAAAATCACTTACCAAAATATGCACAGGAATAAAAATCGTTATAGCCGGTGCGTGTTCTTAAGCAGTTCTGATGCTATTTTAATATTCGCGCCGTATTTATCAATGAGGGAAGCCATCTCTGTAGATCTTTATGGGTTGTTTAGATGTCCTTTGATTACGTTTGAAAAATCTCTTATTCCCGCCCTTTATCGTGACAATATACGTAGAAAATATTACTCGAGAGTTATAAAACAATACTGATTGAGGCGGCGAGTCTGTTGATTGGAACAGCGGGTCGTTGATTGGCACGATTTGTCTGGTTAATCCGCGGATTAACATGTGTGGATTGTCATGTATTTCAAACTAATTAGCGTAATTTTATAATTTTATCATTTTATATACCCGCGGTAATTTTATTATGACAAATATTAATTGTACTTAATTTATCAAATTACCAGATACACTGTAAATTATCGATATGATGGGAATTTGTCCAATACTTTTATCAAGCCTTCAAACTATTTTCATAATTCTTACTATGTGAATTCAAACAATTTATGGTAATGAAATGAAACAGTCTGATATCGATAGATTGCAGATAATTCTTTCAATTAATATGGTATGAATATATTTCTGCCTCTTTTCTTTATTCTCTGTTCCCGAGTGGAACTTTTAATTGCACGAGCAGAACTTACCCGTGAGTAAGGGGTCTAATCCAGCTTGTTTAGACTGAATTGGACTTGAAGTAATGCAACGACATCTGATAATTTGAATTAGTTGTGACTAAAGGGAGGAAACTACAAATTGTAAGGCTACAAACGCCACGTTTACAATCTGAATGTGATGACAACAAAAATATGCAGCAGAGCACGAGGCTATTATAACTCACATTCGATTAAAATGACAATAAAGGTTTGTGGACTGGGAACCTAATAATAATGTAGATCACGTACCGAACTATCTCTAAAGTAGTCTTAGTCGGGTATTCTAGTTTGAATTTGTCATTACATCATGTCTATCGTCCCACTGACATTCTATAAATTACAATCGCTGTTTAACCAATAATCCAGTGGATTCCATTGATCCATTTCAATTCAGACAGGAATTTGAATGATTTATTACTATGTTAATTTCAATCACTTGTACTTGAACATGTTCTCTGCTTCTGAGAAGTGGGAAATGGATGGAGTAAGTAGCTGAATCTACCTTCTCTATGTAATTGGGCAAGACACTGATATTTTTCTGGTCTTACAAAAACCGAGACCAGTGTGCTACAGGTCATCCCCGTGCCTTGACAGTTGAAAATCGAAAATAGGCCTGTAAGGTTCAGAAAAGTAAAAATCCGCTCCATTTAGTTTTATTTTTTTATGCATGCATAGTGTTATATTCGTCCTTTTAAAGTTCGGGGTAGTTCAGATCTAAATGACTGAACGAATAACGCATTTACATAGAAACTATAAATGTTATCAATATGTAGTGAAATGTGATCAGTATCGCTAGAGAAAGGTCGGAACTTTCTGTCTAACCAATAAAATATTCTATTGTACGGTGCTCAACTTTATTTTCCTTTTGACTGATGCTTGCAACTACATTTCTAATAAAATATTGACGGTTGTAGGAATATGGTATATTTATGTATTGTTCTGTAGTAGTATTGATACATGTTATTATTGCTGTAAATACATGATATAAGCAGTGGCGGCGCCGGGGATTGGGAGACATTGACCCCCTCCCCTTAGAAAAATGGTTTGCACCCCAAATTGTACCACCACTACATTTTTAACAAACTTAAAAAAATTGATTTGTATACGTTTTTGCCCCTAAAAATGTGTCGGAATGCACCAAATCAATTCATTTTTTTGTAAATTTTTTGGGAAAAACCCTGCCATACGCTTATTGAAGGGCTTGCTCATTCTGAAATCAGTCTGGACAGTTGTCCACCCCTCCCATTAAGTCTATCTATATGTCCGTATATGTACCTCCAGTTTCGGGAGGCTGGTGCCGCCATTGGATATAGGTTACTTCAAGATTGATTAGATATGGCATATCATCCTTGACGCAAGATTAGTCGATAGTGGTATTTCGGAAAGAGTTTTTAGCAGAACCTCGCTCCAATTTCTAATAAATTGTAATAATAATAATAATAATAATAATACACACTTTCCTTAAGTGTGCATGTGCGTTCATGTTCAAGCTAAGTACAAACCACTGTGATAATTGTAACTTATATTTTTGTAACTATGGCTTCGGCCAACATTACTAAACGTGTTATAGACCAGCAGTTGAAAAAGAATTTGGGTCAAAACGCTGTTTTTAATTTAAAAAAAAAAAACAGATATGAGCTTTTTGAGCAAACATTCTTATGCCAGTCAAGAAAATATGAACATAATCTATCATATTACAAATAATACATTTTTATGTACTGTTCCTAAACCAACTTGGGAATAGATATCATAGGAAAGATCTCATCTCAATCCCATCTATTTATTATTGCGGTACATACTTCATATAGGTTACTTCAGGATTGATTTCCATTTAGCATGTTGTCCTTGAGCCCAATCTTTCTATCAAGAGTGGTAAATAGCAGCACACCACAGTTGTTTCTGAAGGAGTTTTAAGCAGACCCCTTCTCCCATTTCTACTATTTGAAAACACTTTTAACTTTTACCGTTATCTATGATGGTCTTTCTTGACTGAAAATGGTAACAGAGATGAACCCTATCCCATTTAGCACGAAACTTGTTATTGACCAGTTAGGTAGTCAAAAGAAATTTGGTTCATAAGACTGGATCCCATTACAGAAACTATACGAGTGTTTGGTCATTCCTTTAAATATGAACATAATCTACCATATTACAAATAATACATTTTTATCTACTGTTCCTAAATCAACCTGGGAATAGAGATCATATCTCACGAAAGTCCCAATCACGGTCCCATCTACAATCCTTACACATCTATAATCGCATTGCATTTCATCCTTCTTTTCCTTTTTTAACTTGCATATTATCTGCTGACTAGGTTTTTTTTGGTTTCTGTCTGAGAAACTCCGTACAACATCTTTATAAAATACAACATCAAATATTCTCTTTCATTTCCGCAGTTGAAATAATTTTAACGATTAGAAAGAAAGAAAATATGCGAATGTTTGAAACAAATTATGTATTTCCTGTTTTTGACGAGGCAATAGAAGATTCAGCCATGTATATCGTATGTATTGGATATATTTATTATATGGACACGCGATTTCTCAATTGATGTGTCAGCCTTAAACATAATCGAGAATTGATTGCATCAAATACATGGATCTGAATGACAAATAATACAGCTTGTTTTATCAGAAATTCTTATAGCGTGATGTATGTGAACATGATAACATCTTCGAGTTTTCAGTATGTTTGGAGAATAATTTTTATTGTCCTTGATAAAGAGACCACGATAACATGGACTTAGTCGTCTTTATAATTGCTTTCGAAGCTTCAATTCCAACTATATTATCGTTTCTTAAAATGATAGACATATTGCAAGTAAAAGAGATATAAGGAATATATACTACTGTAAGTTGGAAAGTGAATTGATAGGAGAGTATGATTATTTGACCAATCATTTTTGTTACTTCATCAGGAGAATTTCGAGTAAAAAACATGCTAATTCCATATATATAAATTTCAAAATTCTAGATCTGAAGATACTTTATCTCAATTTGGAATGTAATAAGTCGAAGAAAACCACCTCCTCCTCAATTTTCTCTCTTGAACCGTGCATTTGGGATAATTCAATCTTCCCTTCCCCAAAATCAAAACAGTAATTGTACTGATTGTAGACCTCATAGCTAGACATTAAGAATTGAAGAAAAAGGGAGTTTTTTTTTCTATTCAATATAGTCTGCTGAACATATCGTCTTGCGAATGTTTTCAGATTGACAAGAGTTGCGTTACCATCATTTAAATCAGATGTGAAACATTCAACGGAAGGCAGGGATCATTTGGGTACATTTATAAAGTCTATTTTTAGAAAATTTAATTATTGTAATTAAGATTTTGTCAGACGATTCGGTAAACATTCCACAGTAATTTGTCAAATAATTTATTGGTTTTTGATTTTTAAAATAAAACCATAAATCAAGAAAGAAATTTAACTGATACAATCAGTCATTTAACAAATTAAAACATCAATCTAATGACCCTAATGGACACAAGAGACACATTTACCCTATTTTGGGAAGAAGTCTTCGATTTAATGATTATGTTCTTAATCTCCAGACATCAAGAGGTTTAACATCTACAATCAAAGCTATTCATACACCCACCTTGCTTTATCTGGGTCTGTAGACCTACGACTCTTGAGAAAAAGCATCAATGACAAATAGTAACAAACTTTAGTGTTACAAAGATCATGTTTAAAATTGACCAATAAGAAATTTTGATACACAATGGAATATTGGGTTGCTCTTCAAAATAGCGACCACTATAAAAGTCATTTTTACCCTTTACTTTGTGTTAATAAATTGATTGGAAGAATCCATGTGAAATCTCTGAAAAGTGGACAAAGTTGCCTCACCAAACCATAAATTGTAACCAGTAGTTCTGAAAGGCTGATCATGCTCTAACTTGTAGCAAATATCTTCCACCAAACAAATACATGTACATGTACATTGAATAACGACCTCAGAGACAATCTTGTCCTTATAGTATATTCCTAGCAGAGTTAACTACGAAAACCATGGATAATAGGAAAAAAGATTATCTAGAAAGGCAATGAAATGTAAATCTAAAAGTCTTAAATGGTAGAAAAATGTAGTGATACGTGAGTAAGCAAAATACCACTTTAATATATCAACCGATTTTATCATGAACGATATAAAAAGAGTAATTTGTGCAGTTAACAGGAAATAAGTCAGTGAAAGATTTAATTGAGCCATTAAGCAGTCTTCTTGTGACTACTAATAGCTTTCTCGCTGTGTTATTTAAACAAATCCAATCCACAGCTCCTTGGATGTATTCAAGGGCTGCAAGTGTTTTGGAATGTAAACAGTATTTGTATTACCAGCGACTGACATCTTATTCACAACATAATAAAAACATAGCTGACTTCAATCTCAAACCTACCACACAACCAGATACAGACCTCAGACCGATACAACTAAATTCTTTGGTTTTGTTCAGTGATTGCAAGGATAACCATGCGAATCTTTCATCTGTAGTAATCTTTCATCGTCTTTCATTAGAAACACTCACATTTGAAAACAGACTGTTTTGATAAGAATTTAAAACCGCATCACGACAGTGGGTAACAATTTCTCAAGATGTGGGCCATGCTAACCCGGCCAATATATCATGTCTAGGCTGTCCGATTTATTGGGAATTATAAGAATATCCACTCAATTCTTGTGTAAGTTCAAATGACAAAAAACTTGACTACTTTTAATTTTTTGTTAGAAGATGACGACTATTTTGAAGGTTTTTGGTGTTGTAGATGTCTGGATATCGTGAGAATAAGTTGTTCGTCTAATGAAAAACGATGTGATTATTGTTAGAATCACGAATAGTTTAATAATATAATACATGTAGAAATTTATATGTGGTAATATTATTGAGGTTTATTATTACTTGAAGAAATTATTGGGTGGAGAAAACAGCCAGATTTCTACCTTGTTTTGTTAGTGTTACATTATTTTACTATTTAATGTCATTGACTTTCTTTACTCAATTTTTTAAGCAAGGTGGGAGCATCGTGTAATTAGGCAGTTTGAGTCAGATAATGAGAAAGTTTACGATATCCAATTTTCATCGTGTAGAGCTTTGTAGCACACTGGACCACAACATTTGTCATATCCCGTTTTTTGCGCCGTTGGTCCACTTTACTTTAAATGGATGTTTATGAGATATTTTATGATGAATCGTTAAATAAATAACCAAGTGAATTGTATTTACTAAGATATTAAACTATCATAAATGTGCACAGTGATTAACACAGAATGCACTCTATAGTCGTTTCTCTATGTATTCTTCTTTCGTCGATATTTATTTTGAAAACAATAATGTGCCAATAGTTGATTTAATTTCAATGAATGACGGTAAAAAGTTAAATAATGTTTGATGTGTATTGATATTTAATAGGAAATAAACACTTTACTGGTGAGAACCAAGACAAATGTTAACTTGGTAAAGTTTGTTAAGATTGATTAAGGAATATCTAATCTTTTGTTTAGTAAGTGATATGTTATTTATGTAAACAAATGATTGAAAATATAAACATTCCACAATATTCTTTATAAAACTTTGAAGTCTTTTTCAAGTAAATTGGATAATATTTGTACGTCTTGTTATAATCTAAACAGCAACACAGTCAGGTAATTCTGACATTATTAGAGGTTATGGTCTACAAAATGGTGAATTCCAGGTGCTGGACTATTGTAAGAACGAACACGGCGAATATGTTTATAGTGAGTCAGTGCTGATATTCTCTATGTTTAACATCTGCCCACCAAAAATGAAAGTTTTATATTCAAAAAAAAAAAGTTTGATTAACATATTATATGGCAATGCTTATCACAAGTTTCCAGGCCTAATTCTTTCTTTCCATTAGCATTTATGATAATATAGACAAGTTAACTGATATTCGTTATCAATCCATTTGATGAATTTATCTAATAGATTAATATGGCGTACGGGTTTCATAATTAAATACTAAAAAGATAACCAATGGCATATTTTTTTAAAGCAAAGATTAAGGTCTATGTTTTTACCTCTTTACATACATTTCCAGGATCCATTACGAGCAGTTCTCTCGCTTATTATTACTACATATTTCATTTATTGAAGATGACAACGTCCTTGAGAACAAAAGATAAATATGTAAAGACTATTTAATCTAAAAAATACAACTGACACCACAAAAGAAGAGGTAAATTAATAACTCCTCCTTCAAAAAGCTGAAGTTAAATAAAAGACTAGATTTTCCTTTAATCTTTGGGATAGATTCAATATACTAATTTCAGTATCTTCACAATGTTGTACATCGGCACAGTGTGGCCTTACACCCACGAATACAAGGTAACGCGTAGCTCTTGATTGTAGACTGTAGTCCGCCATTACAAGTACCCAAAGAAGTTCAATGTAAACATCGTGTAAATTAAAACAAATATTTATTATATAAGTTAATGATAACGTTTCTAAACTTTAATTGTCATTTTCATCTGTTATTTGGAGGGTCGATATCCAATTCCACTGGAGACGCTTGCAATCTGCTTTGCCGGTGAACATTACCTCGGAGTTTTAGCCACGGTATCTAAAATTGACCTGATTAATCATGCCAATGCATCTCTCTCGGATTGTTTAAAAATTCCACATGATTTCAGAACACTTCATCCTTTAAACATAATAAAATATGGCACCGTATTTCATAAACTGACTAACGATATGCTTGTGTAATACACCTTAAGCTGTCAATAATTACCAGTCAGTTCCGAAATGAAATGAAACGAATTGAGTTTTACATCCTACTCTTCTGCACCTAATTGGCTAATGAAGACGGAGAGTCAGTTCAGAGATCACACACATACAATTCAGGCAGCAGATTGATATTCCTTTACTTAAAAAACACGCCTATACTTTCGATTTAAATAGTAATCAAACGACTTTTACAGAATCATTTGCAGCAAAACTTTATTTTAATGAATCTCATTGCTCGAAGATTAATCCTCAACCAACCAGAATTTAAAGACTGGAATATCATTCTGCCGCCACAAGGTTTAGATGATGAACGGAATAACGACCCTGATTGGCTCAAGATGTTACAATAGCACCACTGGAAATGTTGGAAGCAGCACCATTGTATATTTTCACTCTCAGAACATTTTCTTCCAACACCATTCCTGTAAAATAATACAATTGTCTTATATGGTTAGAATTATTAATTAGTTTGGAGAAATAATTGGTAATTTTAATTGGATGCTAGAACAACATTTTTCATAATTTGTTTTCACAGGACTTCAAAATGGAAATTCTTTGATAATAGAATTCCGAGAAAAGAATAAAACAATGATGCGCTAGTTAGAATCAATAACTACAATTTAGAATCGATAACAGCTGACAAAATACAGTATTAATGAATATGGTATTAAGTCTACTATGTCGAATGACGAGTTAAAATATGTCGTATCAATGTCAGTTGGGTGGGTAAAGTTTGGTTTAAAAGCATGCTCTACTGTCATTTTGTCCCATTGCCTAAGGCCATGATCATGAAAATATACTTACACACAATCTTGCAGCAGTAATATTATAACATACTAATAGCACCACTTATTTTAACCAAATCTGTAACGTTCATTTACTGAAAATGTAAGGAATTTGAAAAGATTAAAGATTAAATGGTCGAAACACGTTCTGCAATAAGACAGAAGTTGATTTTAACTGCTTATATCATTTTGCAAAAAAAAAGTGATGTAAAGTTTGTCAACACTTTAAATACTTATCGTCTGTTGTGTGTATCGTTATTCTATGTAAGCCGCCAAGGTTTAAAACTTTAACGCCATTGAAGTTAGAACCCACCTTCATAAAAAGTTATTTTTGAAATACCACATTTTTTATCCTGAAAATATTAAAATAATAAATTATTAAAGTTATGAAATTGAATATGATCATGTAAGTAATTCTGCTTTGGTTGCTGAAGAAATTGTCCTCCCCACAAGATTCCTGTGACTAGAATTACGAATTCAAATCAACCATCCCAGGGTTTCGTATTCCCAATCGACGAATCTTATCAAGAAATGGGTTATACTAATATTGTGGCTTACTGAATTTCCTACAACAGAATCATTGAGCTTTGAGGGTATTTGGTGATGTTAATAATAGCTTACTCTTACAAATAAAAGGCTAATTCGTTTTATTTCGCGAAGGTATTAACTTTAAAGGGGAACAGTCGGCATTTTCAGGGAATGATTTGGGTCTTTATTTTGTTTTAATAGTCTTAAGAAGTACTAAAACGCACGAAAATGGCATAATCCCTTCAAATATACTTCAAACTAGAAATTTCACTGTCTATTCCTATATATGTGTTTTCTATATATGGCAAAGTCTCACTAAAGTTCGAGTCGAATTTTTAACTTTCAAATGTGAATAATTATGGATACACATGGATTTAAAGGCTCAAATTTCGACGATGAGCTGTGAAAACTATTACTGATTATGTAAGCTAAAAAAAAATTCCTGTGTCTGAAACTAAGGTATGATTGGTTGAACAGGCAGTGAAGTTGCTCCTTTAATAGAAAAGCAAGAGTACATATACCTGATTTTTAGGAGTTATATTAGTTCTTATAGTTCGTCTGTGAATGGGTAATGGCGGCCGGAAGTTGTTTTCCATCAACAACTGTGGACTTCCTTCAGGTGCCTGATGCAGTTGTCTTAATGTGTATAGCTGGAAGAAGATAACATTTAAAAGGGTGACAGAAAAGTCTTCGTGCAAAAACGATAATAAACCATGTCCATGTTAAAATACAAGGCTCACTCCAATGTTATTGCATTAGTCTCCTTGTACAGGCATAATTTGAAGCAGAAACGTTTGGCGTACTAATTTTATTTCATTCATTAATCTACCATACTTTCATCAGTTATTTTACGAGCTAGTCGAGAATGAGATACTTTTCACAATACATGTATCATGATAATGAAAACTGGTAAAATAAAGATTGTCGTTAGATACACCCATTGCCTTTAATCGGCTCTAAAAAATACTAATTGTTGATGGCGCCAACTAAGTCTTTATGACCATAACTACAGGCTAATCCCTGCCAAATATCAAATAAAATTTCACCAATACAGTCCATAATTTCATTACTTAATAATCTATTCTGAAAATTGATTTATGTGCTCCGACTAAGATCATTAAATAGTAATATTAGGTTATAAGAAGATATAGCCTGGATATAGTATTTATTGGGTTAGTAAACTGGAAATAAAATTCCAGCTGTGTTGCAACAAACAGTTCCACTATTTAAAGGGATACAGCCGTAACAATGTTTGCTGATAGGTCTAAATTTCAGCTATCCTTTTCAGAATTAAAATCAGACGCCCGGTCCTTCAACTGAGCTACACCGTCGTCACGTCTTCCAGTGCGATAAAACATAGTAAAACGCTAGTTAATGCACATAAGAAGATTAATAAAACCCTGAAAGTGACAAAAGTCTAAATCCAATATTTTTACATATACATTTCAACAGTGGAAATATTTTCTTTTATTATATACATGTATATACATATTTATCGGAGAAACCCGTTCCTGTATCTCCTATAGAAATCTGACACATATTCGGATTTACCATCCAAGCGTAATATTCCAAAAATTCTCAACAATGTTAATTTACAATTTTCGTATACATGTACACAAATATGCAATTGCAGGCAATTGGAAGTCCCTGATCACATTTGTAATACCATTTTGTGAATGCAAATTCTCAACAATACATGTCTACAACATTTTTCGTTTCTGAAAATATCGTACAGTAGCAATTATGTCGAACACTGTACTCAATGTACGCATATTGACTTTAAATGATGTGACATGAAAATTTATTGTCCATAGTTTTCTAGGTCAACTGTTACATGTTCTAAGCAAACAATAGACTCGAGGTAAATTGAAAAGATGTAATTTCCCCTTCTTCCTACTTCTTATTACAGATATTATTGTCTTCTTTCAATGCCAAGTTTAATGCTGAAGATACTGTCTCTAGTCCAATACGTATCAGCACAATTACCGCACAATTTCAGTCAAAATTTCTTTCCCAAAAGGTAACTAATTTAGTAGTCCTTGTAGATACGTTCTGTTCAAATTCATATGACATATTTTCCATGTTTCATTCCGCAACCCCATTGTTTTTTTTTTTGTTTTTTTTTTGATTTAGAAGAATGATGCTTACCTGTTGTTCTGTGATATATATTGGTTTATTTAGAATAATCCACGTTACAGTTTCAGCACAGCTAGGATGTGTTAAACTTCCTTCATATGTTATATAAAAATCTACTGAAGGTATTAAACCTACTAAAAAAAAATCTGCTATCGGAATTTGGTTTCCTGAAATGAAATAGTTATAACACTTTCTATATCAACACAGTTAATCAACAATACCTACATAAAGCTGTTTTATTGCGCTCCACCTTTTTGGTAAACGGAAGAAAGCCAAGTCCATTGTCAAAGTTCAACGAACGTTTTGCAACATATTCAGATCCAGCGTAACAGATACTGTCGAGATATGACTAATGATATAGAGGTAACAATTGGGTTGCCTTTGTAACTGACATGCGTGAATATCTCTGTTGTGGACATGCATTAACATATCATATTTTCAAGATACGTTCCACAGAACGTATAACGTATTTTCTTTCTATGTGCAATGTATACCTACCTTTATAAGGCGTGGCTTTTGTCGCTTGAACTAAAATTTCAAAATTAGAATTTTGTTCTTCTCCTATCTAAAACATATTTAAATATAAAATTCAATAAATCTTCCATGATAGTATGTGTTACAAGTAATTGAAACTTTAAGGAATGTGCTTAATAGTTTCAATATTGGAGTTCATTACAAAATAACTTTTTATTCCGCCTTTTGAGGGAACTTTTTACCATTTAATCATAGCATTCCATACTGGTTCGTACAATCTTCCTTGGCCAGTTATGTGAGTTTTGATTTCTAAGATATTAATTATATACTTACAATACCAAACATGGCTATAGCTGCTACACCATGGGGTCTTTTTAATGCTTTATGATATGTTTCATATAAATCTGAATTAAAACCTATAACTTGTACCTGTTAATAAAATAATACGGAAAATCATACACAAAATTGGTTTACCGTGAACAAAAGTACGATAGTCATGATATGAGAAATCATTGTATCCGATGCAGAAGAAGTTCTAGCTTCTTCAAATAGTTAATAATCGTTCACAAATAGTGTCTTCGAGGTTCCAATAAGGCCCTTTTCTCACAGTGAAAGTTTTCGTTATAAATCGAAAGCCGCTCGGACAAAATTGTATTAGAAGAACTTTTCTAAAAAATAGTGTTATTATTTATTTTTTTAGAATGTTTTAATTTGACCAGTAGCAGGGAAAATATTTTATGTAAAAAGTTCCTATCAAGCAACATTTTACTTGGATTAACTCATCTATTGAGAAGAGAATAAATCAACCAATTTACAGATTTTTATTAATCTTCTAATCCCTTCTTTCAAATTTCGCCTATAATTTATCATAAAGATGTCTTATAATTACATATTTGACAAAAGACTGTCAAGTGATTTTAACATAGCCTATTAAAATTATGGCATGGGACATTCGATTATCTCAGATACTAGTCTAGGCTGCGTTTTTCCCGTTCCAACTGCAGTTACAACTGCATATTAATGTTTATTTGAACACAAAAGAACAATTTCATATCCACAATTCATGTAAAATCGCCAAACTTTCTGCTCAAAACAAGCAACTTATTGACTGTTTTATTTACGGTCTGTGACGTCGTGACCTAATTATGCGCAACCATGACGATGGCCCATATTCCGACGCCTCTTATTGGTTGAACTAAAAATATCTCTACCTTATCACTATGAGAAAATCGTGGCTATACACCGGAATCAAAGAGTTTGGTACTTTGATGCCGGGAACTTTCTAAAGCTATGAAAAATTTGTGGGAACTTTTAACTGCGAATAGTAACTGGAATAGTAATCGAACCTTGTAGCTTCGGTAGTTAGATGCATATTAGCTGTCATCGATGCTGACACATATGTCCTGTATCATTTAATGTCAAGCCATTTTTCGGGAGTTGATCAACTATAATGTTGAGCCTTACCTCTGCTGGAAATGGACGACCACTAACAGTATGTTCAGATCCTATCTGATCTACACTACCAAAATGTAATTTAATTTCATGAACAGTATAGGTATAGGATAATGGACCACCAGTAAATGTAAAATAAGGCAATAGGGTGGTGTTTAGACGAAATGTTATATCATAACCGGTGTTGAGTAATATTCCCTCTACCTGAAAAAACATAGACCATGTAATAAAAAAGCATTGATATTAAAAGGATTAAACGAACACTGGTAGTATCAATTTGCACCATTCCAATATTCAGTCAGACAGCTGTGGTTCCTGAAATTCCACTTCAAGTTTTATGACGTCACTATCGCAAAGGGCCTTTAATAATATTAAGCAGGTTGTGGGTTGTTCGTCGATAAACACTTGGTTTGATTGGAATTGCAAGAGCCGTCTGACTGAAAATTTGAATGGAACAAATTGATGTCCACGATACACATATAAGTTTACAAAACCTTTTTACTTGAACTAGTTTCAAAAAAGTTTTCTGTTTGTGTTTCCAGGCTATTAAAGCTTCAGTGTGAACCTTTCTGATTTTCTTTCTGAAGTCTATGGTTCATGCAATTATTTCCACACAAAAAACTTTAGCGAAAGTCATATCCTGATCAACTTTTGTGATTTACAGAAACCTATTTCGTAATACATTAGATTAATTGTACCGGCAGATCGTCACTGCGTCAAAGTTTAAACTAAATATCCCATCCCTTCATAATATAGCAAGCTGAAAGATCTGAAGTTAAAATAAGTTACAAACCTTCCTGCTATCGAGTTTAATTTGTGACAGATTAACATCATATACCATGTCTTTAGGTGTAATATCAACTGGTGATTGTAGTCTACCACTACTACATAGCGTCCAGTCTGGATTTAATAGCCCCCAATATTCAGGACCTGAAGATATACATAATCTTAAATATTACCTTTATTCTTCCATGTCTAGCATACACCAATTCCATCTGATTGGATTGATAAATCTCAAGAATTTGTTTGCAAAAACTATGCACAATGAACACATTTCGCATGGGTGAAGATTAGAATATACAGATGGGTACTAGTTAGTAGTATAATAGTTTTAGATGTTATGAAGATACATCAAGACGTAATATGATGATAAAGCACAGTATACTGTACTAATTTGATTCCAAAGCATTTTACAAAAATCGTACAATAAATCGGTCATCTCTGTCTACATTGCTTACAATTGGGATTTGAAAAAGGTCTGCATGGTGCTAGGTGAAAATAAATGTAAAAAGAGTTAAGGATATGATAAATAAAACGTTCGACAACTGGACAACAATATCAATACCACAATGGTGTTTCTTTTGAAATCAGCATCATCTGTAGCATTTTCAAACTATCATCTATGAATAAAAGTAAGTTGAAGGGTGAAAGTAAGATAAGGTAAATGAGATATTGATAGGAAGAGCTAGAAAGAAGGAAATAGAATTATACAGCAGAAGATCAAATCGTTACCATCATTAACCGCTTCATTTATCATCTTGGTGATAGAAATAACTATTCACAATGACATTTTCAAGATGGAAGGAGATATCTAAATATCCAATATATTAGTTGATTATACAATAACTCTTTGAATTCTGTTTTAATTCAAAATGATGTGGATACAGTCCTAAATATTTGCTTAATGATATTGTACAACCCAGTTTCAGATGCTCATAACGCATTTTGAAATGAAATGAACCACAAAAAACTTCGAATTCAACCAAATTGTAAGATATGACAAATTGATACGATAAATATACCAAATAAACAATTATTACACAGTGGATACTACGAAACTGAGAGGATTTCCCAGGGGCGGAGTGATATTAGTGTCACCTCGCAAACAACATCCACTACAGTGCTTATTAGAGCGGAGTTATAATTCATAACGTTGTTGGGTTGAATGCTAATAGGTTGACAAATAGGAACTTCCTGACCCTTCTTATTAATTTAATTCCAGAGTAAAAAATAATTCAACAAGTTACAAGGAATTTTGTAATCATTTCCGTACAATAGTTGCTATTTGAATCACTAACGTTATACATGCATGTATCTCCAACATTAATTGGATGCGTTGATCTATTCAAATCAGAGAGCGATCAGTCGCCTGTACCAGTATTGGCATGTGTTTCACTAACCACTTGTACCTCTTGTGGCAGTTCAATTAATACTATCTCTGATATAGTTCACGATATCCGTGTTATCAGACAACTCCACCAGCAGTATATTGGTCTCTACTCAATTAAAGTCAATTTATCTTTGTCTTTGATTAATGTTAGGTTCCCATTATGACATGTATACAGTGAAAACTTATTAATGACTGTATATTAACGCGACCTTCCGGGTTACTACATGTATATCGAAAAATTTACTATAATTAGAAATATTTATGTCATGTACTGTACAAACGCTAAAATAAAGCTGTTGGCAAACTCACCTTGAGCGTAACAGTGGCCTTCACAAAGTTATAGAAAATGAATTTTTACAATTAGGTTTATTTTAAAATGAAGTTCTTTAGATGTATATTGAATGAAAGAAGGGATTATCATGTACCCTTGTTTTGCAGATCGATAATATGTGTTATCACTTGCTGATGAACGCTGAAGAGAATTACATATCGTTTAAAATGCCTCATATTGCAAGAAAATACCCTTTGCTCATGTGGTCTCCTATTGTATTACCGGTCTTAGCATCAATACTGTAAATTTATATTCATCCAAGGAGCACATAATACTCATTTGATGGCATCTTTTGGCCGTTCATATGTGTTGTAACGAGAAAAAGTTACAATTTTGTCGATGTAGAATAATATACTTCTGTTCGATTTTGACTGCTGTGTAACCTTACACTATCATGTCAAATCACTCGAAAACAACGAAAGACATCAACCTAAGACATTGTTGCGACGAAGAAATGTGAGAATAAACAGAATTAGAGGCCATTAATTTAATTGAGTCAAAGTCAGACATCGAATCAACACCCTTGAGAATTTCACCCAAACTGTCTTAAAGGTGGTTCCATTTCTTTATCTGTTCTAACTTTCTGAATAGAATGATGCGTTCTAAACTTCATGATGGACACTTACTTCATTAGATAAACTCTTCATTACGTTGTTAAATTACCTTATTTGGTTTGCCCGACACTAGCCGTCTGCTCCGAGCAGGTTTCATGTCTGATCAATAGAAAACGGCGACCACAATCTTTCCATTTCGGAAACGACAGGCTTCATATTAAATTAGATTTTCTCTAATGATTTTAGAAGTTCAGAGTAGAAGATTTTATTTGCGTTTGTTTGCGTGACGTAATGTCATTATATATGTCAAACACATTTTTCCAATTAGAAGTGTTTCCCATGGGTGGTAATAGCCCATCAACGTCTTATAGACTATAATAGAATGACTCTAATGAACGGTAAATACCTATGTATATACATGAACAGGAAATTATTTTTCATGTTTTCTGATTAAGTTGTAAAATAATAAGTTTCGTGACCTGGTCTTCAAAATACAATGTCATCGTTTTACAGCAATTCAAAAAAAAATTAATAACTTAAGGCAATGTTATTTTATCATGTTGATGGATACAGTATAATGTTATCACAGGTTACGCTTAATTCCTACTTTAATAATGTTGAGTGTTCAAGCTTTGTGAACACGTCATTTCACCACAGATACATTGAAAATTTGATTCTTTATACATTTCTTCGGGACACCTTCGTCATCTTGGTGGCAGTCGGTCTAGTTCAGCTAGTTAGACATTTACTCTACCTGTTCGACCATGCATTCCTTGGCAGTGGTTAAATCGAAGGGTGCACCTATTAGGTTAGAAGTAAGCTTTAAAACGTAAAGGTTTCAGCTTCAATAATTTGTATAAAATATAGTTGCTGTAGATGATAGATTCAAATTCAGATAGGAAATCCCTGGGAGATATTAATTTGTTACCTTATCTAAACGAATTATTGGTTTTGATGATGAAGTGTTTGCAATTTATTGTTGCAGTTGGTGATACTAGTAGGATAATTGTCTTGTTCCACAAACAATCATGGTGTAACAAGGCATAATCTAGATAGCCATCAGTTTAACAATAAACATTCCCTTGGTATTGAACCCACGGCTGATGATACCGCCTTGGAAAACAGATATCAATTCATTAGTTTATTAAATTCATTTCATTTTATTAATACTAAAACATTTTTTATATAAGATATTATATATATATATACCACAATCATTTGACAAAACAGAACAAGCGCTACCTTTCACCCTTAACTGTTCGTTTCCATCCTAATAAACTTGCACCTCTCCGAATCGTATCTATATGTACGTTTCTAGTTAAAATCAGAGGTTTTATGTCCTGAATTTGTCAATAATATGACGTCTTTGGTCATAACTACCGATGAGATCATTTACAAGTGACGACGTCCTCGAGAGGTTTTGCTACAATGCAATAGAACTGGATGTTTGGATGATGTATATTTTAAAGATTGTATCACTCTATATCCAAGATATGTACCAATACATTTAACTATGTTTCACAGAAGGCCTATTACTCGAGATAATCAAAGGATAACATAGAAAAGATCAAAGATGGTCAGTAACCTGTAGCATGTATCGTTAAATAAGATTTAAATCAATGGCATTATCCTACTCCATTAATTCCTAATTGAATCTTCAGTTTTACTAACGTTTATTTTCACTCAATCGTTCTGAATCGTTTGATCCTATTCTCTCTTTTTATATTCAAGCCTAATTGTTTGTTAGTCTAATACGATAGGATTTTTTTCTCCCCTTTCTTCCTCGCATGTAGTGACATCCAGTTGCAAATGAAATGTCAAAGAATACACATTAACGATAGCTACTGTGTTACGTAAAGAAATCAAAGAATGTCTGGACGCGCTAAAGCACGAAAAGAGATTATGTGTTCTTTCCCAGATAGGACAGATGGGGTCGACAAAAACCAAGTTTCCATGTACTGTACTATGTACAGATTGTGCACGTTGACATTCGTATAGGCAAGTATACGTTCGTAAACAGACTCCAAACATGTGCCAGAATGCACCAAATCAATTCTATATGTTTAAAGAACCCCTCGTACTGGCTTTGAGATGCTTGACCTGTTGTCCCCTATCAGTCTGTCCCCAATTTGTAACTCCAGTCTAGAGAGGCTACAGCAGCCACATTTTGCCACAATTTTTGTCAACTCAGCATGCCTTTGGAGAACCCATTTTTTGAATTTCTTATTCTTAGGCAAGATCCTGGAAGTGTTCAAGAAATTTGTCTAAGAATACGAAAATCTTCTTTTACTCTTCACTGACTTGTAGATCAAACCAAATCAGAGTTTCATTCATCTAGGTAAATAAATATTTCAGAAAGTTCTCGCACTTCCATTCTTATCGTAAATGATTTAATACGAATATTGCGTGATACACATTTCTCCTTAGTTAAAAGATCAACATAATCATTTCATCACAGCAATGTCCATTTTACAAGGTTTGACTTAGACCGAAACATCTGTCTCTATTTAAGGGTCTGATAGTTATTTGGACAGGATGTCGACTGGTCTGCTTCAGCTGCCAAAATATCCATCAGAGGCTGGAAAAGCGGCAGATGTTTCGGACTAGGTCTGACTCGACTCAAATCGATCACAATAAAATTTTATCCGCAAGACCACGAAAGGTAAACCAAATGCAGAAACATAATTTATGAATAGTTTTTGCTCACAATATATTTGTGTATATATTTATTATTTGTTTAGGGTATTATTTGTAGTGTTGTATCATGGAACCAACATATTATTCAAGTTATGGCAACACAATTGACGTGACGAACTCATTGACGGAGTGACGAAGTGACGAACTCATTGACGGAGTGGTGGGTGAGGTAAAATTGATTGACATATTTGTGCTCACCCAGTTTCAATTCAATATATTTTAGACATAGACATTTATCAGGTAATAACTGGGACCTTATACCAGCTTTGATATGATTGTGTGTCTTTCTCGGTAACGTACAGAACTGCCCCTACTCAGGCTACTGTCCGACCACAATGTTTACAGAATCACATTTTTCAATCAGTGCTAGAATAATAGATTGAAAATGCCAATCAGTAAAAAAAATTCATCTGGAAATCATATGAGTTTACAGAAGAAAATCTTCAGTAAGAAATAGTTATTTTCACGAAGAAATTACAAAATCAAATGATATGCAGTTGCAAATTTTGTCTTATTTTTACTAATTGGCAAAAAATTCCATTCTGACTTTATTTGTGTTCGGAGAGTAGCCTCATGCCAATTTCCGGTTAAACACCGACACTGCGCGCGCATCAGTATTTGCGTCGTAATTAAGCAGCATTTTATAAGATTGTGACGAAATTTCAACATATACATGATGTATTTTGTAATCTTTAATTGTGAAAGACTGAACATATTCTAATTGTGACTTGGAGATTAACTCATAAAGGGATTGTTTAAACCAGATCTTTCGAAATTAGGCCAAAACATTGTTTGTGATCAGTAACCATGACGATGTTAGTCTTAATAGTGTTTACCTGCACAAACGACTTTAATTAAAGTAAAGACCTACTGGTGTATATAGTTGATCGAGTTGTAACGCGATCGGATCGTATTAATTGTTGTTCATTCAAAACTCTGTGGCTATATATATACATATATTGAGGTCTATAGCGTTCTACAAACAATTTCCAATATGACGAGTAAGTAATACAAGTTTTCTCTGATTCAACTCTCCCTTTTTTGTCTGTATACACAACATTATTTATGAATTTTACCTCAATATTATCATAGTTAGGAGGTATACATCCATAGGGTAACTGGGAAATTTGATGGTCCAAAAGGCTAGGTTTGATGTAAGCGTATATCAAAGTTAAATACCAGACGGTAGTAGTAAATACGTAGTAATCATAATGCAGAGTCCATGGCTTGACTAATGTAGCCTGTATCCCATCTTGATTCATTCAGTGTGTACGAGTCAATATAGTCCATGTCCAAACTTTGATTATAATAACAGACTGATTTCTATCATTTAGAAATAATTACCCGCATTGTACTGTCCATATCGTTAACAGTTGATGAATTGACTAATTAGCGATTGTGTTACAAAAAAATAAGCCATGTAGTGTGTTAGTTTAACTAGATCCGTCAGCCAGTCAGGTTCCAATTTTCAACTGCCTGAATTTTTAGTGGCTGGCTAACTGCAGCTTTGAGCAAGTGCCACTAATACTAGGTGGAGGATTTTCTCCGCGTTGCAAGACGCAGTATGAAAAGTAACTAAACAAGGTTCTAAGAAATACTGTTTTAAAAGAGTTTGGATCTTCCAATATCTGGACTGCAATTTAACTTCACTAACCCAGCAAGGAATTACAAGTCTTACTTGATGTTGTCAGGAATAAAGAAGATCATGTTCATATCCAGAGCATCAAGTGAACTTCCGTTTCATAATTAAACCTGTAGTAGAAAACATATTTTCCACTGGCACACTTTATGAAGGAATTCAGTGAGTGAGAATTTGGAATGGTTGTTTTCATATCCACCAGAGGGGGCTTCTCATGAAGAAATAACACCTGGCGAGCGCATATTAAAGTTATAATTGGATTCTAGGATTCTTTGCAACCTTGAATATAATATGTTTATAGTTTTCAGAACTACTAAAAATGGAATATCCTTTCATATTTCTAAATATGACAGAGAAAAGGCGAGTCGTCTTTTTAACTTTCCAACTCTGGACACTCGTGCATTTGAATGTTCAAATTTCGATGGTGAGCTGTGAACAATATTACAGCTTAGCTTAACTAAAGCTGAGACTAAGGTATGATTGGTCAAACAGATGGCGAGTCTGTCCTTTTAAAATTTACTATCTCTCTAGATTCATTTTTAGATTCTATTATTTTGTTTCGTTGAATTTAATTGGTCAATAACTAAATTCTGGACCAAATCAAAATAAGCAACAAAATATTGTCTCAAAACCTGTTGTATCAAGGGTGTCGTTTTACTGACGGGACCAGCGCAGACAAATCAAGCTCTGCATATCTCAGTTAAGCTGTTCAATCAACTCGCTGATATGCTTTAGAGGTCGGCTACCACTTCTAAGCCTTCAATGGGCCATGGAAACAAACATAAAAACTCATTAAGAAATTCCGATGTGGATATATAATCCTTAAATCCTCTTATATATGTTATTTCTGTCTTCATATATTTTATGTAACTGTTATCATTATCAGGTGTATGTATACCAAGTTATAATTGGACATGTCTTGGAATGGGAGCTGGCTATGCTGTAAGCGGCATTGTATTGATCATCCTTCATTATACATGCAGCAGACCCTGTGGTAAGATGTTTTGACTTTAGCCTTTAAAAGAATACTACATCTTAGAATGTCAAAAAAATAAATTTTAAAACTTAAAATGAGTATAGATTCATCGGTGGGAATTACCTAGTGTTATAAATATAGTACAGAATATGTTTTTATACGATAAATCAAGAAATTAAGTAATTATCTATAAAACTACAGGTAATTATTGAAATAAAAAACTTAACAATATAATTTCCTATTTTAATAGATGATACCATTTAAGTCCATTTAAACTCAATTTTGCCAAAATTGAGATTTTAAACTTTCTAAGAGCTGGTATATCTTTAATGTCTATTACTTTTCAAGTTTTATCACTTTTTACAGATACTCCAAAACTTTCCTGGGATCACTTCTGACACAAATTTCTTTTATCACTTATTTTCTGTCACATGTAATAGATATATAAAAAAATAGTTCACCAGATTCTAACTTTATTACCTAGGCCTGTGCCTTTTATGGGAATTATATTCTCATATCAACCTAACAGGAGAACATTGATGACATTGTTAGATCTGTATTTTGCCCAGATTGTTTTTAAAACCGTGTATAATGTTTGTTATTTTTAGGATTGTCATGGGGAATAGATTTCAATTTAGGTGCAGGTGTTTTAACATGTTTAATAACTGGAATAATACAGATTTTATTTCTTACTTGTGTCATGGAAGGTTTGTAACATATAATTCTATTTCTATAACTTGAGAATATCCTTCTTAAAGATGTCAAGATGCAAAATGCACTGAGATAACATTTTAAGATGTTTTCCTTCAGGGGCAAAACAAGCAAAGGGAAAAAATCTTTGAACTTTGCCCAGGTCAATAAAAAAGGGAACTGGAGTTTTACGTCATATTTGTTTGGTATCAACTGGGCTAATGAGGCAGAAATTTGATCAGTATTTTAATTTGTGGGTGTATTGATAAATATTATTCTTTCATATCTATTAGATAAAAATACAGATGATATTGGGTATGGATTTTCTATAGCTGTTGTTGCAATTGGATTTATTATGGTAATAGCCAATAGTTATGTCTTATTTGTAAGGGGAAAAGAACGGAAAACATGTAAGTAAGATTTTATATTTTAATATTATGTACCATAAATCTTTGAATGGCATTTAGCAATTGTGAGTACCATATATAGGCACAGCTTTATGGAACAACAATCACTGTTTAAAGTTTTATGCAAAGTTTCGACGTGTTTCCCCATACTGAGGACGACGGGGGAAACACGTCGAAACGTTGCATAAAACTTTAACCAGTGATTGTTGTTCCATAAAGCTGTGCCTATATATTATGTACCATATTCAGTTTATTATTTTAGAACTGTTCACATCAATAAGTAAACATGTTTCAAACTCATAGTTTACTTTCTTTTCATTTTAACAAATAAAGAAAAATAACCCAAATCACCTAAATAAACCTAATTAGAACTGTGTCGTCGATTCACTTTCATTTACACATAAATATTAAAACACACACGTCAGACTATTTTTAAGCACCTTTTATAAAGGTACATATTCATCTAGGCACACTCTTTAGACAAATTTATATTCAGACTAATGTTATCATTTTAACACAATTGAAACCTAACTAAAGAGTGTGCCTAAATGAATATGTGCCTAATTGAAGGTGTGACTAAATCACTGTGCTAAAACAACGCTGTGGCTAAATGAACAATTAGTGCCTAAAAAGTGCATGCCTAAAGTCTAACTGCATATCGTGTCATCAATGACTGGTGATAATTGGTGACAATACAAGTGATTTGAAAGCTTAAATAAGTCTGTTATTTTATTGGGTATCCTGGTCTACATTTCAGTATATATATTTTTACAGGTACACAATGCCCTGGTAAGAAGCTGTCAGCAGCCTGCTGAAACACCTATTATTTAACCTAAAACGTAGGTTTCACTGCAGTTTACCAATTGAATAAATGAAGCTACTAATACAGAACCCAACATTTCAATACATCTGATTGTCAATTGTATATAATGCATATTTGTGTATTTTAATACCCCCTTCCTCAACTACAGTTTAAACTATCAACATCTTAGTTGCCTGCTTGAATTTATTTCTATAGATTATAGAACAACTAAAACTAACAACAAAATAACATGACAAATATCATTTTATAGTGATTTGATTATATCCATGATACAAAAACATAAGTTATGTCAAAGTTTTGGAAACAGAGTTTCGCCTGACTTGCCAGTACTATCTTACCAGGCCCATACATGATATTTTCTTTGAATGCACATTGTGTATTTGTTTATTTATGCCTTTTTTAAGGTATGAATCCCATTGAAACAGCTTACCTGATATCCCATCATAGCTCCACCAATCGGCCCATGGTGTTGGCATGCCTGAAATGAACAAAATGTTAATGATATTAATATTACATTGTAGGAACACCTGCCTATCTCAGTAACATCCATAATGTAGTTTTATTTTGTATACTTTATATTTTACAACTTACACTGTTTTTAGGTCTATATAATCAATAGCATTAACACTTCTATATATTCCTATATTCACTTGGTGACCACTATTTACCACATTTGATTTGAAGACTTTTTTATGCAACTAAATGTGCTGTTCAAAGAAAACTTTGTGAACCACATAAAACAAAATTCCTGAGGATATTTGTTGTCAAACAATTACTTGTAGTCCTTCTCTACTTTTAACAATTTTTTGAGTTGCCATGAATTATGATGAAACAATTTGTTCAATTTATCAACACTTAACACTGATTTAGGTAGAATTTCCTTAGATCACAGATGGTGATAGTAGTATTTTAAAAGATAACGGTTTCACTATTCAGAAACCATTAGCTGCTTTATCTGTTCAACTGTTTTTGATCAATTTTATACACAGATATATTGATAATTGTCATATATTTTTATTTCATTTAATAAACTTTATAAATCAAAGACCTCTGTATAGCAGCTGTCCATGATAAGAATGACATTTAAGAACTGCCAATAACACCACACTACCCATGGACATGAGGGAGGGGGGCACCACAATAGGACTTTCTCAGGGCTTATACCTTTTTTGAGAATTGAGGCCGAAAATTTATATCGTTAGATTTAGACATGCTTTCGAATCGTATGGATTTTGAGAAACGGGGGTCAGCACCAAAAATGATTGCAATTTGGTAATTATGAGCACAATGGCGACCTGTTATGACAAAATTAAATTAGATTTTGCACGATCTTTGTATCATATCGACTTTGCAAAACCCTAGTAATTTCACTGGAATAGCTCCATGACCTGAGTCAGTGCTGTTGAAAGAATTTTTTCTTATCCCACTTATACACAAAGATGAAGACAATTAGGTGAAGATATCATATAAAATCTAAAGTAGAGATGAAACGTGACTAAGATATGGTAAGAAATTGTAGAGCTTGGATAGAGAGTAAATGAAGTCTGTATAACAAAGAGCACGGATTTCTTCTGATGAATTAATATTAAGATCTTAAGGAAGTTGATAAGAAAAGGCGAATATTGCAGCACGTTTTAAATCTTGATTACGTCGACCATCAAAGTAGCCTAATGACCATCTTAAAAAACCCAAATGTTAATGTTTTTTTAGTTGTCTTTGCTGTGATATGGTATATGGTTTAGGAACCCTTTGTTATTCAAAAGGGGGAGTATGCGGCGGATTCAACACCAAACTAATTGTGTCAAAAGTATTTTTTACTCTATCTACTCGTGATAGATTTTGTTCGCATTGGGAACTAAGATACCCTTGTATGTCTTAAAGTATTATATTTTCCTTTTCAACAAACTACTATGCTTTAAACAATCCTCTTTTACAGGACATTTACCAATAAATAAACCTGTCTAAATGATTTTAATTCAAACTTTGCCCCAAAGGTTAAGAATGAGCAGTAAATAAAGATAATTCAATATCTTGATATCACTTGTAATTTCCGCACATCTCGGTATCATGGAGCTTTGATTGACGTTTTCCCCTTACATTGAATCAGATAGACCGTCCACGTCTGTATCAGCCTATAAATAAATCAACTGCAGTAATGTCTTAATGTTCAGATTCAATAATACGACTACGAACATAGCAGTAAATTCACATTCATCCGATTTTGCTGTTTTCCTTCCTGGGACTTTATATATTTTGATTACATGTACATTCATTACACCAATTTCGTTTTATTTATTATATTCTATGCACTTGTGTGTCTTTTCCTGAAATTGACGATTTCAGAATTTTCCTATTACATAATTGACATTGCATCGATTTGAAAATCTAAGGTTCATACCACGATTACATTTAAACGAATTGAAAACTTAGGGATCGTACCATTGCAACATTTAAACGATTTGAAAACCTAGATTAGATGCAAGTGATTTGAATACCCAGAGTTCATACCATTATTAGCTGAAAACGATTTGAAGACCTAGGGTTCATACCATTATTAGCTGCAAACGATTTGAGTTGGAGTGATCATATAAATATATATATATATAACGATTCCATTACGGAACTGCTGAAGAACAACCAGTAATAATTGACATGTCATGTTATAAATGGCTGTACAGACATAGGGCCATTCTATACATGATGAACTGTAAACAGTGACTAATGAGGTTGATAAATAAACATTATGTTGACATGTCATAACTGCATGCTTCAATGTACAACATCGATACTTTAAGTTTTCCTTGGTATTATATGAAGCCGCGGTGCTTCAACAAGCCATACGAATGCTTAAGAGTTTGAAGCCACACGGTAATTTAAGATTTTCAACAAGTCATAGCCATTGCAGAGTTTTGAGCTGTTGAACAATCGTGTCCACGCGTTTGCTTTCAACACTGTTAGTTTTTCTGAGTCTAATGCATGTTATTGCATGAAATGAATTTAATGAAAGATTCTACAACATAAACAAACGTCAGTCCTTAGAACTCAATTCAGTAGAGAATAAATTAGTAAAACCGGAAGTAATGGTCGGCTACAACTCATTTTGCCACATAAAATGAATGGAGTTTTACGTCCTACTTTTCTGCACCATGTAGGGTGCAATGAGGGAAATTTTGCCAGGGCAGTGGCATTAGCCTGCTCTTATTCGATTTCCAAATTTTACTAGGCGCTTTTTCCATGTCAAACCCTCTTACCTACATCACTGTCAGGGGGAAACCGGGTTGAAAAATCCAAAGGTATTATCTTGACCTATGCCGGGATTGAACCCTGTACCTTCAGGTTAGCGAGTAAGCGTCTAACTCACTGAGCCACCGCGGCTCCCTTTTATTCCGTTCTGGCGTTGATTATAATTGTCTTGTTATTCCGGGTAGACGTTGGCTATATCTTATTATTCTGGGTATACGTTGGTTATATCTTATTATTCCACATAGACGTTGGTTATATCTTATTCATGCGGGCTGACGTTGGCCACATCTTATTATTCTAGGCTGACGTTGGCTATATCTTATTATTCTGGGCAGACGTTGGCTATATCTTATTATTCTGGGTATACGTTGGTTATATCTTATTATTCCACATAGACGTTGGTTATATCTTATTCATGCGGGCTGACGTTGGCCACATCTTATTATTCTAGGCTGACGTTGGCTATATCTTATTATTCTAGGCTGACGTTGGCTATATCTTATTATTCTGCGCAGACCTAAGTTATAACTTATTATTTTTGGTAGACGTCGGTTATATCTTATTATTCCGGGTATACGTTGACTATATCTTATTATCATTTTTGGTAGAAGTTGGCTGTATCTTCTTCTTCTGGGTAGACGTTGGCTATATCGTTTTACCTTGTATACGTCGGTATGTCTTTTATTCCCGTGGACGTTGGCTATATCTTTATATTCTGGGTGGGCGTGGGCGATATCTTATTCTTCCGAGCAGGCGTATGGCCATATCTTTATATTCTGGGTAGGCGATATCTTATTCTTCTGGGCAGGCGTATGGCTATATCTTTATATTCTGGGTGGGCGATATCTTATTCTTCTGGGCAGGCGTATGGCCATATCTTTATATTCTGGGTGGGCGATATCGTATTCTTCCGGGTAGACGTTGGCTATGTCGTATTACTCTGTATACGTCAGTGGTCTTTTATTCTAGTGGACCTTGGTTATATCTTTATATTCTGGGTGGGCGTGGGCGATATCTTATTCTTCCGGGTAGACGTTGGTTATATCTTATTATTGAGAGCAGACGTTGCCTATATCTTGTGTTAAATTGAGAGCAGGAAAATGTCGTCCTATTAAACAGCTTACTCTTGTTAATTGAAAATGAAATGGTATAATGGTTATTGATGTCCCAAAAGACGAATAGCACAGACTGAAGATTATTTTTCTATTAAGAGTATTTAGTAAGGATTGTGATACTAGCGGGAAGTGTAAATAGATCAATTTACACCGAGTTCAATTTTGTCCGTCGATAGACAACCAGTAGTGTTTATTGCTTATTTGTGTTTCGTCAATATCTAGATCTGTATTGAACAGTCACTGTGAACATTAATGCGTAACATTAAACGTTAAAAATAAAATTGTTTGGGACAGGCCGTTTATTCTCAAAACGATTTTAGCGCTAGGATGTCCCAGGGTCTTAACTTTTAACATTGTTTCTAGGATATCATAGAGTTAGGAATGTTTCGAGAATATGTATAGCAAGGTCGTTCGGGTGAGACGAAAACCTGAAACAGCGTAAATTAAGGAATGTATACTTTAAGATCGTTCGATACATATATAAACATATTCGAAAATATACAACTTTGAATATTCTGATTATGTTTCATGTTTAATACTTCACCCATACCACGATCTTAATACATGTATAAAGACAACATATTTTCAAGTTGAACCTGTCATCTTCTGCGATGCGCATTCTTGAAGATGACATCAAGAAAATCGCCAAAGACTGTCAAATCTTAACTTGCTATCATTTTATAACCCAATTAGATTACAGCCTTCCATAATATACGAGTTTCACCGTATGAAAGTTTTTGAAAGTAGGGAACAAGGTCAACTACCATTAAAAACGTAGATATCATTCAAACAATTATTATGTAAAATATTGATAAGCTAATGTTCTCTCATATCTGATATTCATTATGATAACATTGTATATTTCATACATTGCTTAATGAATGTAGATGGCCTGGGGAAACAATGGATAATCTAGGTATTTCCAACCACCAATCTGTCTAGGCAGGGTATTAAAAACTCTCTTTGCGGTTTACTGTATCAGTCTCTTTTTACTTATAACTGGCTATCTTTTCTCTGGACCAATATCCTATTACTACATCTAAATGGACGAACAAAAACCAATTGGAATTCGTCTGATTTATTTCTGAATAATCCCAACTTTAAAGACCATCTTTTGAATTTGTTTTCATTATTTCTCAAGAAGCGTGGAGAAATTAGTCTGTTTCTAGACTATCTGATTTCATTTAATTGGTCCAGATTCCAGTGTAAGTATATTTTAATAGGTTTCTAGAAAACATTCTTACCACCTACTCTGTTGAAGGGCGTTAAGGAAAATGATATGTATGTTTACGTCCTACTTTTCTGCACCATACTCGGCTAATAAACTCCCAACTGTGGGCATTGTGTCCCAGAGATTGATTGAAAGGAAATTAGGAAGGAAGGAAGAACAAATTGTGAAATTGGTGTCAATGACTTAAATTCCGTTATTAATTTCTTTCAAACTCTTCCTTTCCGTTGTGTAAATTTTTATCCAGGAGGTGCGTAACATTAAACGTAAAAAGTAAGATTGTTTGGGACAGGCCGCTTATTCTCAAAACTATTTTAGCGTTAGGATGTCCCAGGGTCTTAACTTTACACATAAGATATCATAGAGTTAGGAATGTTTCGAGAATATGTATATCAAGGTCGTTCGGGTGAGACGAAAACCCGAAACAACGTAAATTAAGGAATGTATACTTTAAGATCGT